ATCACCCAGAAACTTGCTGCCGGTGCCAATTGTCTAATTTGAAAATAATCACGGTACAAATGTCCAAGTCTGCAGGGATTTTCATTTGCAAGCAATAATTATGCTCTTTAATGATTTCATTTAAAAAAAATCGTTAAACTAGAGTTTTTTTTATCTTTGGAGCAGAAAGAACATGAAAGTTTAAGATTTTTCTGCTTCAGTATTCACATCATTGTTGCACATAATGCATCAAAAATCCGCTCCTAAATATGTTAAAATGTGTTTTTAACAGTTGATTTTTTTGGATAATTAAAACCAGGTTTAACTGTGTTGAAAAATGTAAGGGACAAATGGCCCCTACATGTGACCTGCGGTAAACTAGTACATAATATTTTGGTGTCCCAACCAGTCAATACTAATTATTACGGAAGGAACTTAATTAATATCCAGGACATTAAACCCATAGATTTTTCTCTAAAAATTTAGTAATCCGCCTTTCTACTGATTTATTGTTCTTATTTAATGGAAAATATAATATTAATATTGAAAAAAAAACTTAAAGATTTGACGTAACTAATAAAAAATTTATGTTTTAGACATTTTTAAGAAATATAAATCGATTGAATATTTGCAGTAAAGGCTAGGCAATTTATTAGGAGAATTCGCATCATTACGTCAATTGGATTTGTAAGTCCAAGTGGAAATTTCCAGTAATTTAAAGTACAACATTTTCATGTTTGTAAGCACAAATTCGGCCTTAATGCGCATCCTCCACGCCCTCAATCACTCCCTGCCGCTGCATAATGCCAAGCCGCAAAAAACAGCCAGGCCGATAATGCGCAGCTCAAAACAAAGCCTACACAATCGCTAAACATTTTTTAATGCTCAAGATAAGGGCGAGCGGAAATTACAGCTGTAAATTCGGCCGGCACATTTTTTTTATTATTTATTTTTTGCAAAATAGCCTTTTAACTGCGCGCGGCAATAAAACGGCTGCTAATAAATTCTCATTGATGTCGGGGCGACCACACTCGTTTTGTGTTTAGGTGGACTGCGAGCGAGTTTAAAAAGTGGTCGACGAGCCTGCTGCATTTGCTTTGGCGAGAGGAATTCGATAAAGGTAAATTGAATTCGCGTCTTTTTGTCGAACGCACAAGTAAATTGACTAAACGCTGCTCCGGTTGAGATCAAAGAAAGCGTGTTTTCGCTGCGCACAAGAGAAAAAAAGCAGTAAAGCGCTTGATTTATTATTTTCCCTCAGAGAGCGTAAAAGCCAGAAGCAGCGTTTTATATTAATTCAGAGTCACGTGTGAAATCGCGGCGCTTAATAGGAAAAGCACACACACAGGTGAGAGCGCGTATATAAATCGCGTGGAGCGGACGTTTCATTAAAAATATCATTAATCTGCGCGGCCTCAACGTTTATTCGCGGAAAAAGCGGTCTTAAATTCCCATTCGCTAATTTTGTGAATTTTGCGAATGTGGAGAAAGAGAGATTCGTTTCCTACGTACTTTCTAATCCTTCCTTTCGCTCAAAGGGTTTCTCCATTTTTGTCTGCTCAAATGAGCTCCGGCGAGATAATGGCATTAAAACTGCTTGGCTCGAAAGCGCGCGCCTCAAACTTTTGCTACCCGTGAATAATTGACATTGCTTTTGTGGAGATCTTGCTGCCAGCCCGGCACACACATACAATTTTCGTGCAGGCTTCGCGCTGCGCTTGAACGTCGAGCCGGTTGCATAACGTGCGCCTCCTCTCCTTGTTAGCACAGGCTCAAATTGACTTCTCTTAGAGCCGCCGCCGGCTTGATTATCCGATAATGAGAGCAGAGCAAAATAATTAAGCACACGGCACATTCGTATATACAGAGCTCAGCAAAAACAGCACGACCTGCTGATTGCTGCGCGCAATTTTCGAGAAACTTCGCGATTCTAATTGTAAAATGTATTTTCTTTCTTTTTTGACTCAAATAAAAGACCTGGCGTTTGAAATGAGACCCACGCTGCTTATTAGCACCAAAACTTGCCGGGCTAGGAAGAATAGCAACCTTCATACTGAGCTAAATTAAAAATTTGTTAAAAAAAATATTACTTCAGCTCGCTTCAGCTCTAATTATAAGTAAGGAGACGTTAAAAACAATATTATTTATGCTTTTAAAATAAATATTTTTAATGAAGAATTCAATAATATTTTTTTATAATTTTAAATTTTTGAACTTTGCTTTTGATTTGTGTATAATTAAAATAATTTGAGCCAAATATTTTTTCATTTAAAATTTTTTCCTCAAACAAACATATATAAAAATAAAATCAAAATTTAAATTCGACGTGACAAGATTCTGAATGTTTATCCTTGAAGAGAATTTTTAATGGAAAATTATTAATTACTATTTATTAAAAATTTAACTTTTGTATCAAAATTAATTACACTCTAAATGATATAAAGATTCGTTCAAATAAAAAATGTCTCCATCAATGAATTTTTGGGAATACACATAAGAATTACGATGTTTTGGAAATCTTGTTAAAGAAAAAAATATATAAATACTTAAGCAACAAAGCTATCAGGACCTCAATTGTGGAATTTGAACTTTAGTCGTTATAGTTAAGAACTGCTATGAAGCTATGAACTTATCATAACAATATACTTTTAAGGACCAATTCAATTTAATTGAATCCGTGAGCATAAAAAAATTCAAGCTCTTTCCACTTTGCAAATTATTCGTATCCAAGAAACTCTCTTCCCACGTCTGCTTGAGAAATACATGTTTCCAGCAAATGCACTAACAAAAGCCTCTCATCGCGCGACTTCGCAGCATTGTTTGCAGCAGATGGGAGAGCGAAGAAAAATGCAAATTGGAGAAAATTCGCTGCCTCGCCGACATTGATTTTAGCTTAGCCTGCACTTTATTGTGCGCGAGAGAGTATAATGTGCACGAAATTATTTTGGCACGGCGTCAACGTAAATATTTGGTAAAAACAAAAGAGGCCAGCCGCTTTCTCGCCTTGAAACGGGTAATCTTTTGTTCTGCGCGATCGTTGTGCCCAAAAACATAACGAAATGTTTCAATTATCAAAATTGATTTAACCGCTCCATATTTTTAATTTCATAAAGTGAAGACGACCCAGCTTTTGTAAATCTTAATTATTTCTGATTATCGCAGATTTTCAAAGCAATGAATTTTAAGAAAATTAAATTTCATTATTTCCCAAAATCGCCTTTAAAAATACTTTGCAAAATGTTATATATTGAAAATTGGCCATTTTTTCATGAATTTCTTGAAATTTAATATCAACGTTTAAATCCTTCTTCATAAAAAACTGCTTTTGTTGCTAAGAAAGAGAAATTTACAAAATATTCTACGTACATCTTTAGTGCTTGGAAATCGCAATATCTTTTGTGCTGACACGGAGAAGCTCTTTCTTTATTCGTTGGCATTATTTCCAGGCTGTGTATAAAAGCCGCTCAAGTCTCTCCACAGGTATCCGGTTTGCGTTTTATCTCGACCGCACGCCGAGGGTGTTTGCACTTGCACACCCACCGCGGGCGGAATCGCAAGCGAATTGAATGTTTGTTGCTCTTTGTTTACAAAATCTGCATGCCGCTTTTTCACTCGCTCGATCCAAGAGCATTATTTCGCTCGGCAGCATCTCGCGGGGGAGGTTTGCTTTTCTCTTATTTCTCTCTCTCGCCACGGCTGCATTCCGCGATTTTTGCGCCCTACAATTTGCGCTAAACAGCCAATCGGCAGCTGCTGCTTGATTAAAAAGAGCAGAGATGCACTTTCTTGATCCGGCCGCCTTGATTAGCTCTGTTTACGCCGCCGGCGAAGCGAGCGAAGGCGCGGGCGAGAGAAGGAACAGCTTTTGCATACTATTGTTTTCTCTCTTCCCTGGCAAAGTGCAGTTCTGTGTTTATTATTCCGCCCTTTGTTCTTTTAAAATTAGATTTAGGAGACTCGGCAGTTGCATTTGAAAACTTCAAGTGGTTTTGTTTTGTCTCCGCTTTAAATATTAATGCAATAGACACCATGAAGGTAAAATCATTTCCCTTAAAATTAATTAATCAATAGAAAACTGCGATAAAAAACTAATTTTGTGTGTGGAGACTGTTTGATTTTTCTATTGTTTGGCAGGATAATGAAAAATTAAATCCCAAAAATCCCATAATAGTGACATTATAACAAAGAAACAAATCACTACGCTTCATGAAAAAAATTATACAAAATTGTACTAAAATTCTTGAAGAATATTTTTTCATTTCATTTTTAGGGCGTATTTAAGATCGTGTTATTTTCAAAATTTAGTATTCAGAGAAAATAATCTTATTTTTTATTACTAAAAGAGCACTTTAAAAATAATCAAAATACTAAATTTTAGACCCGCAAATTAAATTTTTTTTCTCATCTCATAACTTTTCGCCTTTATAATTTTCATCCTAACTATTAGGACAAATAATTATAAGCAAATTTGTGAAAAAATTATATCTTATCATTATTTTCCTTCATCATGCGTATTTAATCATGAGAAAACTTTTAGGTCGCTCTTTAAAAGACACGTTACTATGCAGAAGTTAAAGTTAATATTTCAAAATTTGTCTCAAGACTCCGCCCCTGCTGCGTTGATCAAACACGTCTCCTTTGAAGTCATTTTCAAACATCGGCACGCGAGGCTGAATTGAATTTCTTGCGCAACACGCATGTTCACACACACACTCGGAGAATTGAAAAGAGAGTGCAGAATTTTATGCGAAAGGAGAGAGGCTTATCAAATTTTCAAGTCAGCAGCAGCGCACTATGGGCACAACTCAAAGGCGGATGTTGTTGACACGCATTTTTTCGTTTATTTATTTACTCAATCGCTTCATTCAAATTCATCGCAGCTTTTTCCGAATTATCTGCAGGTTTCGCGTGCAATTTGCCGGCGCTGCGATTTTTCTTATCGCCCGCGGCCCGGCAGCTTTTGCGGCGTCGCCTTGTTTGCTCGCGCGCGGTGTATCTTTTGTACTTGCAAAATAACACAGTCCATGAATAATTCCTGCTCAGCGGGTCGAGCAAACAGCGGAGGTAAAAGAGCACGCGAATTCCTCCCTCAACTCACTCAACTCTGCCGGACCAAGTTAACGAGATGATGCTCCAGAAACAACATTCCCCCCACGCGCGCAGTACATCTGTATCTTTTTCAAGTGGCCAAAGACTTTCTGCTTCCATATTTTAGCTGCTTGTCCCTCTCAACCACAGTAATATAAATATATGTTTCCTTCTGGAATTTTTCTCCTTATATAGCTTACAATTAGATTATTTCCATTTTGCTTTCAGTGGGATTAAATTTTCAATTAAATTAACTTTAATTTTTATTTTTAATGCAGCTCAAGTAGCTCAAGCAATCCAAAATATTTCACTGATATTAAATTATTATTAACTATTAAATTTTTAATTTCTAAAAGATATTAAATAATAAATTCACACTACGTTGCTTAAAGTAATAATTTATGTTGATTTATTAATAAGTAAAATTTATTAATTCCTTACTTTATTCAGAAAAATTAAATTATTTCTGCGGTACATCCAATGTTTTAACTGACTTCAACGTGTTCAGGGTGTGTGGAAACCTTTTATTGCGTTAACTTTATTATCCTCTGTTTTACATGACTTGCTACTCACTCATTTTCAACCGAGTCAAAAGAAGAAAGGTTAAAATTTACATATTTGAAGCAAAGTCAGGCAATCAGATAAGTTAAAAAAAACAATATAATTGAATTTTACTTGTTCCTAATTATTATCATGATGAGTATTAGTTTTGTAAAGCCATAAAATTTGTGGAATAATTCCGATTATTTCATTTTTGTCTAGAATTTACTGCCACTGCCATTAAATAAGAGGCAAAAATATCAATTCTCTATAAAAATCTTTACTTGAATTAGAAATCGTTGATTATTTTAATTAATGCGACTTTAGAATAACAACATTCCCTTAACCGGAAAATTTATGTGTTACATTTTTTGAGAAGGGGAGGTCAAATTCAGATAATTTTTGATTAGATTTGGTACCTCACGTTTATAACTTCCGTTGATAGTTGATAATTTTTACTTGCATTCTGCACAGTCTTCAACTTGCAATGGCTCGCACCGTACTGACCGTTCTCCTTCTTTTGGCTTTTATTGCAGGTTAAAACTTTCAATGTTTGACAGGAATATTTTTTATTTTAATTTTAAATTTTCAGCAAATCTTGCTGCCCCTGCGCAAAATAAAATTGAAGAAAGGTAGATTTTTTGCCTCGTGTAAAATAAAAACTATAATTTTAAAATTTTTCTGAACTTTGTGGAATAGAGATGGAGAAATCAGGGACGAACGTTGGGGTTGGTTCGGATGGGTAGCCAAAGCGGCCATCGGTGTAATAAATCACTTTTGTACGTCTTCTAATTAATTTGTATTCAATACGTCTATTTGAAAATTTGATTTTCACAGCAAATAGAAACAGAAGAAACTAGGATCCATGCCCAGGATCCATGACTAATTTTGTTAATACAACCGTCTGCAAATTATCGTCAACTGTTCTGCAAACCAAGCTTGGTGTTCTTCTCTTTGGGATTAATTAATAAATACAATTATTAATGGATCAGACGTTTTGAAAATAAAAGCATGAAAAATCCTTTTTTTATTATTGATTGAACATTGATTTGAAGAAATTTAATTCTCCGTCAATAACTTAAAAATGAATATATCCATCTGCTCTTTGAAAATATTTAATGAAATATTTTAATGTTCTTAATAATATAAATCAGGCAAATACATTTATTTTATAAATGTGCAGCGGCGATAACAAAAAATGCTATATTGTAAAATAAAATAATTTTCAAAATAATATCCATTAAACCTATTATTTATTTCAATTCATTTTATTAATATTACCAACAATAAGAATTTCAGGACTGCTTTGTATGTTCCTTCTTTGCATTTTAGATGTAATTCTATCTCTTGTAACTAATCAAATTTATAATTGAATTTATGAATCATGTATTTGGGCAGAGAATTCCCGGTGGTAAATTAATCAACAACATCATTTGAAGCTAAAGGCTAGAGGGTATAATAACGCAAAATAAAATACGTAGAATTATGGCTGATTATACTTCATTAAAAAGAAACACTAATCTTTCCGTTTTCAAAAAGATTTATGATATAGCAGATTAAGGAACTAAAAAAAAACATGTTTTTATCCACGCAATGTTTACTTCCTTGAATCACCTGTGTTCTGCACAGTTTACAACTTGCAATGGCTCGCACCGTACTGACCATTCTCCTCATTGCGGCTTTAATTTCGGGTGAAAACTTTCGTCAATTGTTGGAGTTTTTTTACTAAATATAATTTTTTAGCAACTTTTGCCTCCCCCACGCAAAATGAGGATGAAGAGGGGTATATTTTTGCTGTATATTAATTTCTAAGTAAAAAATTTCTCTTTTTGTGGAGCAGCGATAGCGGCATTAGAGAGGAACGTTGGAGTTGGTTTAGAAGTATTGCCAGAGTGGCTTGGGGAGTGGTAAAGGACTATGGTAGGCATTTTAAGTAATTTCAGCAATTCGTTTCATAGCTGATTTGATCCTTTGCTTTTCACAGCAAGAAATAACTAATCTCTGCGCAAGATGAATTTTGTCGATGCACCCATAATTATGCCATACATCGTCGCAGGTCTGCAAAACAATCTAGGTGTTATTATTTGTGGGCAATTTATTAAAATAAATTCAGAAGATTGGATGAACAAAACTGCACATTAAATATATTGTGTTCTTTGTTTTCTTTCACACTAGCAACTTAAATTGTCCATCAAAATCCTTTTGTACGCATTACGAAAAATTATAATCTCTAAGTTAAAAAGAGACAGACTTATTTTTATATAGAGAGTTATATTGAGAAAATATTTAAAAAAAAAAAAAACACGAATTTTTGAATAATTTTGTTAATTTATCGAAGTTTCTATCATTAATTGAATAAAAGATACAAAACTGTAAAAAAAATTTGTATATATTTTTTAATATTTTAATTCCTATTTGAATATCACTTTAAAAATAATTTTGTTTTTATTGTTAATTCACTAAACCGTGATCTGCAATACCATGAACGTTTAATGCAATAAAATACAGCCATTGATTATCTTACAAAGAGAGTATTTTCAACTTAACAAAACAGGAATTCCTGCTAGATTTTATCTTAATACAGAAAACCCAAACCTTTTCGATGAAATCAATATTATGTTTTACTTCCTTCAATAGCTTTCAGTTGCGTTCTGATCGACAACATATTCGTTTGCAATGACTCACACCGTACTCACTGCTCTCCTTCTTGTGGCTTTAATTTCGGGTAAACGAAATTTGAGGATACGATTGAACATTTTTATTTTTATTTAAAATTTTCAGCTAACTTGGCCGCTCCCGCGCATGAAATGGAAGAAAGGTATATTTTGCTGCTTGTTAAAAACCTAATTGAAGAATTTTGATTTTTTCATTTTGTGGAGCAGAGGTGGCGAAATTAGGGAAGAACGTTGGGGTTGGTTCCGATTGATAGGCACAGCGGTTAAGGGAGCGTTTAATTCCTTAAGTAGGTTTTTCAAGTAATTTGCACTCATATTACATTATTTATTTTTGTGACTGCTTTTCACAGTGGGAGAAGACCAATGAAACTAATCGCTGCCCAGGACGAAATTTCGAAATTTGTCACTTCAACCGTCTATAATGTATCGTCGCTGGTCTGCAAAGTAAGCTCGGTGTTTTTCTCAAATGGGATTTATTTATGACAAAATTATCAGTGTCAAAAAATTTGCTTGCAGTTTCTTCTCTTGTAATAAATATTTACCATAATTAAATTGTAATAATCAATGGCATTTTTATTTGTAATTGTCATCTTTCTTTGGTCTGAAAATTAAGTTTAATTTAATGCGAACTGAATTTTTTAAAATTTTGAACAAGAAAAATATGAGGAACCTGAATAGGACGATTAAAAATAATTAATATTAATTGTTTCAATGTTCTCTATAGAACAGAACAAAATACAGCTTAATTCCGCATTATTCAACTAAACAGGTAAAAAAAGTTTTTTTTTTTTTTTGAAAACCCAAGGCTCTTAAAGAGACAGCAAAATTTCACTGTTCATATCTAATTTGTTAAGAAGTTGTTTTCTTAATAAATTAGTACGTGAAATAATATAATTGTCACTTTCTTTAAAAAAAAAAAATATTCAAAAATTCTTCATTTTTCACCTTTTTTTCTGGGCGAGGAATTAACGTTTACAACGGTTTACAATATAAATTTTCTTGATATATCTCTCAAGATATCTTTTCAAGGGATGTTAATACCCAGAGAGGATAATATCGCAATGTCAATATCTCCTAATTTTTATGGATAACATTTGACCAACACAATTAAAATACAGAATATCAAAGCCTGATCAGATCAATAAATTTAAATTGCTATCGTTTTGGATAAAAAATTATTATTTTTACAATATTTTTCAAGGATAATCCCAAAAATGGAAACTTAAAAGTATAACTTTTGCTCCGTTTGAAAAGTTGAGATAAAAGAGTTAAAATCACAGTCTTTGATAACAAGCCACAGTTTCCTTTGCGCAGATATAAAAATACCCGATTAACAAGTACGAGATAAGTTTATAAATAAAATTCAAAACAGAGATTAATGAAAAAAACTACCGATAAATATCAGAGCGTTTCGTGGCTTAAGCTCTAGATTCTTGTACAGGGAAAAGTTGATGCGATAGCAAGTTGCGGTTTCGGCGAACACGTGCAAGAATGCGTGTGGCTTTTGCCGTCGTCGTCGGTCGTTACATCAAATATGCATAAATTATTCGGCTCACATATATGAATTATTTGCACACTCCGGGGATAACAATTTGTCTGCGAAACTATTTGCCCCGCGTGCCTCCTTCCGATTGAGCAAGTTTGCATTTGACGTCAAGTGCCGCCCGCGTTGTGCACCAAGGGAGGAGAAGTCGCGCGCGTTTGGATCACAATACACAGCAGAGTCGAGTTTGCCTTGTTACTGCTGATGCTGCACGCACACATTAGTGGATCTCGCGTAATGAGTTGTATGTTGGTGGTGTTGCTTTCGAGTTCCCGCCCGTCTTGTATCTTCCTAGCTTCGCCACCAACGCAAATGTGCCGAACTTTTACTTCGTCGAGTCGCCTTTTGTTTGCACGCTGCTGGAATTTAATTAAGTGGCTCTGTATATTTGCTTGACATTTGAAATTGTGCACAGAGTAAATTGAATTTTATCCTTACAGATTTACTTTAATTAGAGTCCAGTGTCAAATTATAAAAAATTTTGATGGAATTTTTGGTGAATTAAGTATTTCTCGTTTGAAATTAAAAATTTTATTTTAATTTTCCTCTTTATGCAGCGATCGACGTGAAAATATTTGATTATTAAAGATTTAATCAATTTTTTATTCTGAAATTTAACTGAATCCAGCTACATAAATTATTGCAATTATTGAAGGGAAAAATAAATAAATTTTTCATTCTTAAATTTTGAAATCAATCACTTTTTAAACGAGTCAAAAGATCTTTGGTTAATCAGTGCAAAATATTCGCATGCACGAAAGAGATATAAAAAGAATAAAAATTTTTAACGTTTATATCACTTTTCTCAAAACATAAACCTTGGCCCACTTATTTTAGCAAACAAACTTGTCTTGCGCTTTTATTGGATTTTTCAAATGAAATTCCTTGCTCTTTTTTTTCCTCTTGTGAAATGCCGCGTTTGAACCCATTTTTTATTTTCCTCGGGGGCAAAAGCAAAAATAATCAAGCCAGTGCAAAAAGAGCCGCAAAAAATTCGTCCTCGAGACACACACATGAGCAAGGGAAGTCGCAAAAACGGTCTCAGTGCTTTATCTACAAGCAGCAGGAGACCTTCTTGCTAAGAGGAAAAAGCGCCCGAACGAGTCTATCAGTTATTTCATTACTGCTCTGGGAAATTTCTTGTCCTTTGCAGGCGAGGAGTGAAATTTTTTTTTTTTTAAATGAAGTATATTTATTTGAAAGAAGTTACAAGTCCAGCCAACTCCAAACGGAGTTATCGGCCGGTGCTTATGTGACTGGAAAGCAAGACTTAAAAGCCAAGCAATCCAGTTCTATACACATTATTTTACATGCGAATTTTTACAAAGATAAAAATGTCAACTAAATATTACAAAAGTGACAAAAACCATTTTTTAATATGAAATTTAACAGAATTTTTTGAATCAAGATTTTTTAAATTTGGTGGTAAAGCATTCCACAGTCTGGGAAAAGAAAATTCAAATGTGCGATCAAAATATTTGTTTACACTGGGCGGCATAACAAGAGGATCCAATTGGGACATTCTTGTTTCATATTGATGCATTCGTGGCACGCCACGATTTTCGTCAAAGTATTTCAAGCAATATACATTTAGTTCATAAATTTTGTTGACAGGCATTATGTTCCAAAATTTGAACAAATTATCGATTGAATTTTTTTGTTTACGAGTACACATTTTATACAACACTTTTTCTTGCAAGTTACGCACAGCAGTTAAATTTGCGGAGCCCCAAGCAGGGATTCCGTAGTTCAAATACGAGTGGGCAAGAGAGAAATACATTATTCTGCGTGTGTTGTGATTGAGGTGTGCTTTTATAAAATTGAACTCTCTTATTATATTTCTCAATTTGCCGGAAATGTGCTGTAAATGATATTTCCACGAAAAATCCTGGTCCAGGTGTAGACCAAGATATTTGGTTTTTTCAACTTGCGACAGTGTTCCGCATTTACAGCCAATTGAGAAATTGTGTAAACATGTATATTCATGGCAGATAATGTTTAATTTATTGTTCAGTCTAATGTTTGGATGGCAAAAGTGCAAACTAACAGTCTTTTTCTCATTAATCATTAGACCATTATCATGACACCATTCAGTAATTATATTAAACTCGGACTGAATCACATCATGACAAATAGCAAAATTTTCATGCGCAAATAAAATTACAATATCATCGGCAAACACAAATATTATGCATTTTTTTAACATTGGCACGAGATCGTTTATAAACAAAAGGAACAGAATTGGACCCAAAATTGAGCCTTGAGGAACTCCAGAATTTACGTCAAACTCCTCACTGTTTTCGTTATTAACACGGACAAAAAATATACGATCAGAAAGGAAACTTATTAAGAGCTGCAGGAATGGGCCATCAATACCAAAATACTTTAATTTTTCTGCTAATTTTTTATACAAAAGTACGTCAAATGCCTTTTTTAGGTCAATAAAGATTGCCGTCACGTGTTTATTTTCACCTAAATTTTTATTTATAAAATTAGCAAAATTACCAAACAGCTCGTTAACACATTTCCCTTTTTGAAAAGCAAATTGTCGCTCATCAATCATTTTAAATTCTTTCAGATATTTAGTCAAATTAATTTCAATAAAGCGCTCAAAGATTTTATCAAAAACAGGCAAAATTGAGATGGGGCGATAATTTTCAAATTTTTTGTGATCAGAGTTTTTATAAATCGGTCGAATAATTGCACTTTTTAAACATTTTGGATATTGTGAGGTTTCAATGCATTTGTTTATAACGGAGGAAATAATGTTGGCGAGAGAGCAGCCAGCACTCTGCACATCACGCACAGAGACGCCATCCACTCCCGGGCCTTTGTTTTTATTGAGACTCTGAATAATAGCCGCGACTTGTGTGTATGTGGCGCGCGGCAGGCGCATGCTTTGCATCGCCGTCGGGCGCTGCTCCGCAGACCTGACCGCTTCAAAATCACAAATATGTGTACTCATTAGCGGCGCATCCGCAAATTGTTTACCAAAGCCTTCTAATATTTCCGGCAGAGAGAATTTTTTCGACATGAAGCGTGTTATTGTAGTGTCAATGGAAGAGGTTGCTCGGCCAAGCAATCTATTCAAGTTTTGCCACGTAAGTCTAATGTTGCCTTGACAAGTATTAAAAACTTTAAGATTGAAATTAATTTCTGCATTTCGCAATTTATTATTTACTTTATTCCTAAATTTTTTATACTCGTCAGCATGTTTTTTGTTTGTCGGATTGCTTTTCATTTTTTTATATAATCGCGTTCTCTCTTTAATTATTTCTTTATGGTGTGGTGTTATCCATAGTTTATCAATTCTTTTTTTAGTATTGTGTATTATCGTTTTTTGAACAGTGTTTACATCTTTTAAATTTTGTATAATAGTGGAGCAATTTTTTAGAGTCTCATTCGGATTATTTTCAACCACGCAGCGATTCCAATCAAAAGTTGATAAATCTTGATTGACAACTTTGAAATCAGTATAATTATACTTTTCAACTTTAGGGCCTCCGGAATGGTCATAAACTAAGGTTGAAATCGCATTGTGATCGGAGGCGTCGCATTCAATTACCGCGGAAATATTTTCAAAATTGTTAAGGCGTGCAAAAATGTGGTCAATTAAAGTAGACGAAAAGTTTAATCCAGAGACGGCTTCTCTAGTGGGAAACGAAATACACTGAGTAAACCCAAATTCTGCGGAAATATTATGTAGGCGGTCAACTATTGTGTCTGTAGTGTCGAGCAAATTTATGTTTATATCTCCGCAGATGACGAAATTTTTAAAAGTGTTTGTTTTCTCTAGAAAAATGTTAAATTCGTTCAGGAATTGAACTTTATTTTGTGACGGTGGTCGATAAAGAGCTGCCACAACAATTTCTTTATTTATTTTTATTGTCAAACTTTCTGAGCAGCTAAAATCGAAATCCAGCTCTTCAATTATGAACGAGTCTTTAACAAAAATTAAAATTCCACCTCCACGACCTATTTCTCTTGTTTTTGCAATTGATTTGAAACCTTT